CACACCTCAGCAAACCAGTAACCAGGCCCCTAGTCCCTAGCACAAGAAGCCTGGAACAGTTTCCCCTATGCCCCACAAGCAGAGATCAACTTTAAAAGCCAGTAAAAAGTCAAACAACATGAGCAGAAAGCAACATAGAAAAACAATGACCATAGAGAAATATCTCAGTGACAGGGGAGATCAAAACACAAATTCAGGGAAGGACAACACTGTCAATATACCCTTGTGAAACTCAGAGGGGAATATGAACTGGTCTCCAGCCCAAAAAGCCTTCTTGGAAGAGCTCAAGAAAGATTTTATAAGTCAAATAAGGAGGTAGAAGAAAAAAAAATTGAACAATTCCTTTCAAACTACAGTTGACAAAATGGAAAAAAAAAGTACACTGAAGAAAACAACTCTATAAAAAGTAAAATAGGCCAAAGAGAAAAGGAGGTACAAAAGCTAAGTGATGAAAACAACTTATTAAAATTAGAATTGGGCAACTGGAAGCTAATGACTCTATAAGACATCAAGAATCAGTCAAACACAATCAAAGAATGAAAAAATAGAAGAAAATGCAAAATACCTCATTGGAAAAACAACTGACCTGGAAAATAGAGATAACTTAAGAATTATTAGTCTACCTGAAAGCCATGATGAAAAAAAGAGCCTGGACATCACCTTTCAGGAGATCATCAAGGAAAACTTCCCTGAGGCCCTAGAAAAAGGGTAAAAGAGTCATTAAAAGAATCCACCTATCACCTCCTGAAAGAGATCCCAAATTGAAAATGCCAAAGAATATTGTAGCCAAATTCCAGAATTATCAGGCCAAGGAGAAAATTGTAAGCAGCCAGAAAGAAACAATTCAAATATCATGGAACCACAGTCAGGATTACACAGGACCTCGCAGCTTTTACATTAAAAGATCGAAGGCTTGAATATTATATTCTGTAAGGCAAAAGAGCTTGGATTACAACCAAGTGTCCACTACCCAGCAAACTGAGCATAAATTCAGGGGAGGAAACATTCATTCAATGAAATAGGGACTTTCAGACTTTGTGATGAAAAGACCAGAGCTCAATGGAAAATTTGATCTTCAAATACAAGACTCAAGAGAGACATAAGAAGGTAAACAGGACAGAAAAAAAAACCAACAGTATGTTATTAATAAGGGCAAACTGTTTACATCCCTACAAAGGAAGATGACACTTGTAACTCTTGAGAATTGTAGCTTTATTACGGTATTTAGAAGGGATATACATTGACGGAGGGGATGGGTTTAAGTTGACTTTGATGTGATGATAAAAAACCTGATGAAGTGGTGAAAAGTAATTGTAATGGGAGAAGAGGAAAGAAGGAGGCAGAAAAGGGTAAATTACATCACATGAAGAGGAGATAGACACAAAGACATATTACATTAGAGGGAAAGAAGGGAGGGAGATGAGCATTGTTTGAACTTTACTCTCATCGAATTTTGCTCAAAGAGGGAAATAACAATCAGTTATGCATAGAAAACTAACTTGTCATATAGGCAAGTACTGCTGTTTATTAGAATTAAAATTCTTCACTTTGTATTTGATCTCTTTGGGATCTAAGTGGTATCCCAGCATCAAAGAACATATATATGAACAGCATTTTCAAAATGCTGTTTGAAATAAGAGGGAACAAGTCCTGGCTTCACCCATAGTGTTTCTGTGCTTCTTTCTTCCCATGGTCCCAGCCCTTCTAAAGCCAGATGCTGTGGCTCCTAGGGGTCAGGCCAGGCTAGGCTGCTCAGAGAATGGTCCTCCCTGGCTATGTAGTGCCCAGGTCTAGGGCTCTGAGGCAGCTCTGATCTTACAGGGAGTGAGAACTCTGGGAGGTCCTTAGTCTTTTGTTGCTGGCAGCTCAGTCAGGGCCAACCAGAGGCTCTGCTGTAAGCTCTTCGGGCTCCTGGCAGCCTGGCTGGGTTGTGGGGCTCATTCTGGACAATCTCAGGAAGGAATGAAGAAATCTTGTATTTACCCCAGTGTTCAGTGACAGATGCTGTCATCCTCCAAGGCTTTGGCTTGACTGCCTGGCTTGGGAGAGCCTCATGACCTTGGAATATTCCAGCAGACTAAGCAACTATCAGGGTTCCAGTAACAGAAGGCCAGCTACTGGCCATCGATGTAAGATGCCTGTAGCAGTTTTTTTTTCTATTTTTTAATTGTAGGTAAGCTACTTGGTGGATGTATGTTACCCACACCAGGAAGTCTGTTGTCCTTGCAGGCTATGAAACCTTTGCCTTCTGACTTCTGCAGTGGCAAGCCACGGTACAATAGCAGGCGTGCCATCTCTGCCCTCTCTAAGACCTACTGTGCTTGGGTCAAACAGCAGGAAGAGGTAGGTAGTCTTCCCTGAGCAGTTCTCTGGGCAGAAAATGAGTGCTAAGGAGATGGTTTTGTCTTGTCCAATGCGTGACCATGAAGCAAGGGGACTGGTTTTCAGGTGTGTGGCAGATGGATAAGGGACTCGGCAGGCACTGAAGTGGAGTCTGTGTTCATTTTAGGACTCTACTTTGCTGTTGCCTGTTTGCTTTCTTTTGAGTATCTCCTGAAGACGGGAGATAATTTAGCTTCCCTCCAATAATGATGCCGGCATTAATCCTAGGAGGAAAACTCATTTCCAAAGTAAATTGGTTTGCTATAGCAAATGTACCAGGGCAGAAAGTTGCTCTTGTCCTTTGGAAAGGATCAGTGATCCCAAGGTTTACTCTGATACCAGTTGTTAGGGCCACTCTTAATTTTTTATGACATTCATTATATTCTAAAGCTTTTTTCATGAAGTAAATGCAATATGACCTGCTGGAAACCACAAAGACAAAAACCGATCTGAAAATTTCTCCACTTCCCTTGTCTCTACCTTCTGCTTGGGAGCTGTTATTGTCCCACCTCTGAGCAGGACCTGCTCTTGCTATGGGCCTTCCCAGGATAGGTGAGAAACTGAAGTCTGCCTATGAGAAGATGTCATCCATTCCATCGCTAGGTCCTTCTTCAGCCCTAGTCTCTTTCTAGCCTTCTCTCCCTTGCTAGCATTTTGATTGGTGACCTCCACCTCCCATTCACTCCCTTTCTCACCTCCCACCCTTCAGACATTCCTCATCTGGTCACTTTGTGTTCCCTTGGTGTCAGCACTGGGCTCTAAGGTGCAAGAGCATCGTATGCCCCAAACATCTGGTCTCAGAAAGCTCTGTTGAGGGCTAGAGGCTTGAGAAACTGTCAGAATTCACAGTGGATCATCAAATGGATCATGAGTCCGCAGGGCTGGCTCCTGGGCACCTGTTCATTGAGGTTTAAAACAAGCAACATCAACACAGCAAGACAAGATTCTGAATATGCACGGCATTGCTTCAACCGTACTGAACATCGCCACTGTGATCCAGCCTTGGATAGACGCTCATGTGAGTTCCTAGACATCCCACTAAGTGTTGGATGGGTTTTCAGGGTGCTCCATAAGGCATGTGTCCTTCCAAGAACGCAGCCCCCAGAGCTCTCCATGTCAGATGTGGTCTGGCCAGGAGATTGCCACTGTCTAATGCTACCCCTGTATTATGGACACTATCTGTCTGTCCATTCCCCTCTCTCTCTCTCTCTCTCTCTCTCTCTCTCTCTCTCTCTCTCTCTCTCTCTCTCTCTCTCATCTCTGTCTTTCTGTCTCAGTGTCTGTGTCTCTGTCTCTTTTTGTTCTCTCTCCTGTTTCTGTCTCTGTCCTTCCTCTCTCTCTCTTGTCTCCATCTCTTTGTCTTTCTCTCTGTCTCTTCCTCTCTCTGTTTCTATGTCTCTGTCTCTGTGTCTACCTCTCTGTATTTGTCTCTGCCTCTGGATTCAGCCCAAAGGCCCCCTCCTTTTCTGGGCTGCCATATCACACTTGGCTCCTATAGAATTTGCAGTCCACTAAAGTCCTCCAGCCTGTCAGGTGAACTGCAGCTCACATATCCTACACCATCCTGTCTTGGGGATGTGGCTTTATCTTCACATAAGTAGATTTGACTTCTGGCTAATGTACTCTGCTATCCCACACCCCTTTGACCATCCTATCCTGCTCCCTTCAGGTAGCTGACCTGTAGGGCTGTCACTCCCAAGATTATTTCCAGGATCCAGTGAGATAATGAGCTAAAAAGCATTTATTAAGGGCTTGTTCACTGCAGTGCTCAGCCCCTGGGATACAAATAAAGGCAAAACCCTAGTCTCTGGCCTCCAGGAGTTCCCAGTCTAATGCCAGTAACTAAGCACGTCCAGTATGTGTGTAGTGCAAAGGAAGGAGGCCCTGGGTTCAGTAGGGCCCTTGGTGGCCTCCTAACATGGGTGAGCTGGGAGCAGAGTCTTGAAGGAGACCAGGGAAGGTGGAGGCTTTGGTGGAGAAGGATTTCCCAAGCAGCTTGGGAATCTGAAAGGGGCCCAGCCCCAGTTTTAGGATGGTCATTTCATTACCTGGACAGTGGCATTTGATCCTTCAGGCCTGACCACAAAGCCCCCAGCCTGGGGCCCCTATCTCCAGCATGGTCTTTTCTATAAGACCCAGTGGGGGCCACTTGGGTGTTCTGCATACCTGCCCAGGTGGGTACTCACCTTCAAACTTTGAGGCCCCCTTAATGTAAGCCCAGCTCAAGGGCCCTGCCTTTATCCTCTGGCACCTTGAATTTCAGGTTAGGTACCTGGGGACTCATCCCCTCAAGCTTCATTCCTCCCCTCCCTGCTCCAGCTACCAGTTCGGTTAGACCTTGCCTGAATGTGATGAGACCTTACTTGCTATGATGGACATACGTAGTCATGTCTGAGAGAGCTTCTTTTGGATTCCAAGAATGGAGTGTTAGCAACCTGTTAGGGTACTCTTTGAGAGCCTTGGGCAGCTTTGGATAACCTCCTGTAGATGATAGGGAGTAAAAGTAAGGTTCCAGTCATCACTGCTGTCATTCAGGAGCCCAGGGCAGCAAGGGCCTGTCAGGAGCGGCAGGAGGGGGTCTAGGTTGCTTTGAGGTCAGTAAACTCATACAGAACCTTCAAACAAGGGGACCCTGAGTCCTCTGATAGCTCTCTCAGCAAGTGGCCATCTCTCAGCAAGAGCAGAGTCTCTGTCAATCTAAGATGCTCCTAGACAAGTAAGGAATCCAAGGAGAACCTCATAGCCTAGTTCCAGGCTCCTGAGAGCAGCATCAACCTTTTGAGAATGCTGATTCAGCCAAAAACAACCTCCTCCAAGATGCCCACCTCCATAGTCCCTGCTTACAGAAACATCTGAGTTTCTGGATTACTTGGCAGGCCCTAGGAATGTTCTTTAGTATGTGATCAAAATCTAAGTGTTCTTCTGCCCAGAGGGTGGTCAGATCTTCCTAGGGAGCACAGAAAAGGAGACAGACATTCAACAAAACCCAGAGAACTTTTCAGGCTGTGGCAACCCCAGAGTACTGCTTCACCTCAAGACTTCCCTGACCTCCATGGGTGCTATTGGATCAAACCTAGAGAGGCTGGTCCTGGTAACCTGGTGTTATCAGGAGGACAGGTGGGCAGCTCCTGCTTTCACCTCACCTTGATGTGGACAGTGGTGTCCCTTTGGAAGTCCTCCTTCAGGGAGGCTTGCTATCAGCTCACCAGGCCCTCCAGGACAGCCAAATTGTCCTCGTGGCTCTACTCCCATTCCCCATCATATATATGTCTTCCCAGTGCAGCCCCTTTATTTTTCTGTTTAGGTCACTCAGTCACCCTTTTCCACACTGGTGCCTCAGGGATTTTTTTTTTATGACTTTCTTCTGTATTATTATTATTATTAATTAGGCAAAGCCTAAAAGGAAATTGGTCTCAAGGACTGTGAAGTCAGTTGGAACAGTGGATATTTGATTATGACAGGCCTGGGGGAGGCCTCACTAACCTGATTAAGACAAAGAGGTCCTGCAGGGAGGCAGCTGTGGTCAGGTGGTACCAGGTATTTCTGAAGCAGCAGTGGAACAGGTGAAAGAGCCAACCTGTAAACGTCCCAGCAGAGGGATTCAGAGACTTCACCCTGCAAGTCTGTCATGTCCCAGAGCTAGCCTGCTCCCAGCCTGTCAACTCTGCAGCCCCTTCTTGCTATTCTGGCTCTAGCTGTGCATACAGATCCTTCTGTAACAAGCCCATCTTCACACAGTGTCCTAGAGTTATTCCACCCATGCCCATTGTGCCCCTGCATAGGAATGAGGAAGCTCCTTTAGGTGCACTGTAGGGACTGTCCTGGCACTGTGCCCACCCACTGGCAGAACCAAAATGAAAAGCTGATCCCCATCCACAAGAAAACACCAACATGGGAGACTGCATTCTGTAAGGTGGATGTAAGGGCCAGGCTGGTCCATAAGTGCTTGCCCTGAAGGGAAGGGAAGAAATGAAGATCCACCCAGAAGAAGAAAGCCTCAAGAATGCCCCATTTTCATGCTAAGGCTTGAGCCCTCCCACCCTGAAAACCCCCATCTGGAGCCAGACTGCAGAGTTCTCCATCTTATATGAGAGATAAAGTCCCCCCCGCCCCCAGCTATAGGGTACCCTTCAAAGTAAGTGGTGCACTGCCTGAGGAATGGGGCTCCAGAGGGAGGAAGTGACGCCTACCTGCACAGTCATCCTCAGAGAAGTATCTTGAGGAGCATTCAGAGATGTTATAGGTGACTTTGTCCAGGTGAGCAGCTGGTGAGAGGCATTTCCCACTTCTGGATTTTCTCCTCAGCGTCATAGGGTTACCAAGCATGAGAAGCAAAGATAAGAGAGTGAAAAAGAAGAAGGGGGAAAAGATAGGGAGAGGGGAAGGACAGGATTTGAATGAGACTTTCCTGGAGACTTCTGGGGTGAAAAGAAATGATACCCAGAGCCCTCTGTTCCTGTTCTTATTCCTTAAACAGATGAAGAGTTTTGTTTTTGTTTTTTGTTGTTGTTATTGTTTGTTTTTCTTTTGTTTTGTTTTGTTTTTAACTTTGGGTTCAGGATTCAAAAAAGCCAGAGGTACCCTGAGCCAAGGAGGGCCTCTTTCCAAATTAAACCACCATGATGAGGTATGAGAGGAGCTAAGAGTCAGCTAAATCTGTCTCGTCACTCACAGGCATTTCACCCAAGAGGCTCCCTGCGCTGTTGCTGGGCCATGCGGCTCGCTCTAAGAACCATGGGCCCTGGGGCTAGTTAAAAGAGAAACATGGCTGAGAGGGGTTGTCCATGCCCAGCTTCAGGCCTCAGTGTTCCAGGCCTTCTCTGAGACTCATGTTGACCCTCCCTAGTTCCTGTTCTCAGAGAGTGAAGGCATCAGCAACCCAGGTTATGGTAGAAGGGGGAGAGATAGTGCTAAGGACAGGAAATTCTCACCTTTGTGGGAAAAGAAAGCAAAAGAGTGATGTCTCCACTCAAAAATGGAGGCAGGAAAGAAATGCACACATGGCAGCGGCAGAAGCCCTTGGTTGCCATGGGCAGTTGTGATGGAGAAGGTGGCTTGGGCTCCCTCTGGCTCTTCTTACCTGAGGGAACTCTTCTTGAAGTTGGTGTGCTGGCCAGGCACCTGGGAACTACCTCCCTCTCTCCCTTGCATATTTGACCTCTTCTAGCTCCATCTTTTCTCCCAATTCCACCTTACGTAGATGTTCCATCTCTCTTCTCAGTAGATGACTGTGTAGGAAAAGGTGATCCCCTTCCCTTCCCAACTCTAAGACAAATTACAATCTTGGCTGTTCTTGCTGCTGTCATTGTCTTTTCCTGGCTCCTTCCTAAGAACAGGGGGAGGAGCAGAAGGGCTGGCCCCAAAGAGTCAAGAGAAGAAACTCGATGTCCCGTCTGCACGATGGGCAGATCCTTCCATTCCTCACCTCGAAACGCTGCTGTTAAGAAAGGGCTTTCCTCGGTTTTAGAAAGAACTGCAAGGTCCAGGTACTCACCAAGATGACAAAGCCTTTGGGAGTGCTGGTGATGTTTGCTGATTAGGTACAGGGCTTTGGGCACATGCTCCAAGGTGACAGCAATGAGGTGGAGCCCTGGGAGCCCTGAAATGCCCAGCACTTGCCAGGGTAGACATTTGGCTATGGGCAGAAGACAAATCACGTAAAAGGTGGTAGCACATGGAACAGATCTGGATCCTGGGGCCCCCTTGCCTTGAGAGCCCAGCCCCCACAGATGAAGGAGGAGACGGCAGACAGAGAGCCAACCTGGGGGACCTCTGTTCAGCCCTACCTGGTGGATGGCTCTTTGGATCTGGAAATGGTACCACAAGGTTATGCCAAACAGACTGATAACAGACATCCTGGTGCCATAGGTCTCTAAGCTTTGGCTACTGAGGATGCTGGCCCCTGAAAAGAGAAACAGGGAGAGGAGTTAGGGGGCACTCAAGGTCTTGGATGACACAGATATGGCTTAGGGCAGCCTTCAAGGCAAGGGGGTGCTGCCAGGGCATCTGCCCTCCTACCTGTGCCAGCCCATTAAGGGCATCCCAATTTGTCAATTCCTCCTGTCTCATAACGGCTATGCTGATTTTTCAGTCCCTCTTGTCCCAAGCCTGCTGGCTTTCTGCAGGCCTCCTACCTGAGGACTCCAGGGCATAATCCACCAGTTCAATGTGATCTTCACTGTAGAGTTTCAGGGCCTGCTGCATGATCTTATGCACTTCCTAAAAGATAGGCATTCATGACTCATGGGCCAGGCCACCTGTAGGGAAGGGCAAGCACGCTAACTGGTGGGCCTTGGCTTCCCTCTCCCTCCTGGCAGTCTCCTCTCAGGGCAAACCCATGACCTAGCCAGGAGGATGGGCAGAGGGACCAGGTTCAACTCCTTTGTCACCCTGGTGGTCACTCCTTCCTTTAGAAAGGTCAGCCTGAAGATGGCAGCAGCTTTGCTAGCATACTTGTCCTGCTCCTCTGCCAACTGAGTCAGGATTCCTTGCTCCAGGTCCTAAAGCTGGGCCTGTTCCTCCTCTAGCTGTACAAGCCTGGCCTGAGTGCCCTTGTCTGCAATAAGTAATTGGTGGATCAAGGCCGGGATCTGAGATTCCATCTAGAAGCCACCAGAGGAAAGAGCTCAGCAAACACCTGAGAAACTGCAAGGGTGAGGAAGGAAGAGGGTCTGGACAGGAGACCTGGGATGCCTAGAGACACTCTGAGAGCTCAGGGCCAGCACATGCCTGCCTGGTGCCGGAGAAGGGATGGTTGTGAACCAAATGACTGGCATTTCTCCACTGCTTTTGAGGTCTGCAGAAAGGATCTCATTGGACCTTCTGGGACATGATATTATCCCACTTGACAGATGAGGAAAATCTCATCCATGTCACAAAGTCCACCCAATAGGCTCAATCTTTAGGAAATGCCCAGTGGAAACCTCAGATGGTTGCAGCTCCCTGGGCAGATGTCCGGGCAGCAGCAGCCCAGCTGAGATCAAGGGGCATGCATTGCTTAACCAGGGGACTGGAGGACTCACGTCACTGCACAGGGCCACCATCTTTTCTCGCCAAAGGTGTATTTCTTTGGCCACTGCAGCTTGTCTTTGGCTGACGGCCGCCAGCTCCTGCCTCAGGCCAGCCAGCTGGGCCTCCAGGGAACCCATCTCCTTTGGCCTTTTCTCCTGGGAGTCTTCTTGGGACAAACTAGCCAGTGACAAAAGGAAAAATCAAGGTCAACCTTGGCACAGGCACTGGAGGACAGACTCAAACAGAGGCCAGGAAATGGAACAGTGTCACCTGAAGAAAAGCACCACCCAGTGTAAAGGACAGAGCCAGAGAACAGGCTGCAAGACTTTACTGACATTTCCTCCCTGCGGCACCCTGGGTAGGTCATTTCCCTCTGAGGCCTCAGTAACCTCATCTGCTCTCTGAGGTCCTCACTAGCTCGGATCAATCCTATGGACGTGTTAACCCCAGTGTTCTGCCTCCAGTGACCCCCTTCCACCTGAGGGAATCTCAGTCGTGCCCATCAATTGGGGAATGGCTGAATAGGTTGTGGTGTATGAATGTGATGGAATAGTATTGTGCTATAAGAAATGATGAGCAGGTGGACTTCAGAAAAACCTGGAAAGACTTGTATGGACTGATGCTGAGGGAAATGAGCAGAACCAAGAAAACATTGTATACAGTAACAGCCACACTGTGTGATGACTGACTTTGATATACTTGGCTCCTCTCAGCAATGCAAGGATCTAAGACAACTCCAAAAGACTCATGATGGAAAATACTATCCACATCCAGAAAAAGAACAATGGAGTCTGAATGCAGATGGAAGCATACTATTTGATCTCCTTTTACTTCGTTGTTTTGTTGTATTTCTTCATTCTCATGGTTCCTCCCATTAGTTCTAATTGCACTTGACATCATGACTAATGGGAATATATGCTGAATACGGACATATAACTAGAGCCTATATCAGAATGCACACCATTTTTCGAAGAGGGGAGAGGTAAGGGGGCAATTTAAAACTCAAAATCTTATGGAAATGAATCTTGAAAACTATCAATTAATTTATTATTATTATTAATTAGAAGAAGAAATGTGACCAAAATTAAATTGTGTGGCTTATGAAAAATAGAAAAGTAATTTCTTTAAAAATGGTGGAACACAGAGCCAAGATACAAGGCAAGCTGACACCAATCCTACCAGGAAGGAACAAAAAAGACAAAAGGACCTGCTGATTTTCTCACCATCAGATGTCTGTGGCTCTTTCTCCAGTAGATACAGAGTTAAAGGATATGAACAGGCATTTTTCCAAAGAAGAAATACAAGGGATCAACGACCAAATGAAAATAAAAATATCCAAATCACAAATAAATAGAGAAATGCCCATGAAGGCAACTCTAAGGTTCTACCTTCTACCTTTCAGGGTGGCAAAGAGGACAAAGAGGTAAAATTAGCCATGTTGGAGGAGCAGTGACAAATCAGGAAGGTTCGTCTAGGGCAGCAATGGGGTGCCAGACTGCAGAGTTCTGGGCCTCGTCTCAGACAATCAACCAGACTTTGTTCCAGAGGGAGATGGAAAGGCATTCCTTCTCTTCAGAGTGTGGCATCAAGAATGAGACCCGGGCTGGAGAAAGCCCTTCCAGGTAGCCTCCAGTGTGGAGTTCTCCAGCCATTCACTGCTGATGTTTTTAATGGGGCTAAGAATGGGAGGGACATTGTCATCTCCTTCACTCCTTTCTCTCTTTCTAGTCCCGCCCCTTCCCCAGAAAAAGGAAGGACAAAGGGGCTTAACTTTAACCAGCAGATTGGAGGGCTGCAGATTGGCCTTATGCCCGCCCCTCAGACATTCTTACCTTCTTCCTTCCTCACCCCAGCTCTGCAGCCTCACAGAGAGTCCACCCTCCCATCCTTGGGGGTAGCTCATCCCTTGGAGTTGGCTTTGGGCAGCCTGGAGAATTCCATGCATCTCTCATTTGGCCTAGAAGTGGGGCCTTAGCTTGCTCAGGATCATTTAATGAAGCCCCTTGTTGTCTAGGGGTGTCCCTTCCCATGTGGGTGGAGCAGCTGCTCCCTCTTCCCTCTAAACCCAGCAGCCCTTCCATCCTGCCCACCCTGCCCCTGTTGTGGCTCCTACTGGAGCTGATTTGGAGGTTATACCAAGGGTGAGGATGTCCCCAGAACCTTGAAACTGGCTGTTGAGGGAGGGAGTGGGAAGGGCCCTCCAACAGTCAGGAGGGCCTTCTTTGCCTCAGAGATGCCCAGAGGGTCAAAGCCAACTAATATTTGTTATTATTATTATTTCAATGTTTTCACATTTGTTTTGAAAACTTTGAGTTCCAAAGTCTTTCCTTTTCTCCTTCCCCATCCCCACCCCCTCATTGAGAAGGCAAGCAATTCCATATAGATTATATATTTGTAGTCATACAAAACATATCCATAATGCTATGTTGTGAAAGAAAACATAGACAAAAAGCCTCAAGAAAAATAAAGTGAAAAAAAAAGTTGCTTCTGTCTATTTTCAGACACCATCAGTTGTTTCTCTGGGAATGGATAGTATTTTTCATCTTAAGTCCTTCAGAGCTGTCATGAACCCTTGTATTGCTGAGAAGAGCCAAGTCATTCAGAGTTCATCATCTTACAATATTGCTATTATTTTGTACTTAGTACATTTCACTTTGTAACAACCCACCTAAGTCTTTCTAGCTTTTTTTGGAGAGCATCTTGCTCATTGTTTCTTATAGTATAAGAGTTTTCCAACATAATTACCTACCACAACTTATGTAGCCACTCCACAACTGATGTGCATCCCCTCCACTTCTAATTCTTTAATCCCCAGAAAGGATCTGCTATAAATATTTTTGTACATATAGGTCATTTTCCTTTTTCTTTTCTATCTCTTTGATCATACCGATCTAGGAGTGGTATTGCTATGTCAAATATGGTATATTCTAAGCATGGTTTCATAGCTCTTTTGTCATAGTTACAAATCACTCTATACAATAATTTAATCAATTCACAACTCTAACAACAGTATGTTAATGTCTCCTTTTTCCTTACCTTTTCTGTCCTATTATCTAATCTTATAGGTATGAGATAGGGCCTCAGAATTATTTTGACTTGCATTTCTCCAATCAACAGTGAGGTAATTTTTTAAAATATGGCTATAGATAGCTTTAATCATTTAATCTAAAAATTGATTATATCTTTTGATCATGTATCAATTTTGGAATGGCTCTTATTTTTTTTTATAAATTTGACACTTTTCTACATGTTAGAGAAATTAGATCTTTATCAGAGAAAGGTGCTTTAATTTTTCTTCACACTTACTGTTGCTGACTGTATTTCCCTCCATCCTATGCCCTTACCCTTATTTATTCTATTTTCTCTCTCCTTTCACCTTGTCCCCCCTCAAAAGTGTTTTGCTTCTGATTACTCCTTCTCCCAGTCTGCCTTCCCTTCTATCACACCCCTTCTCTTATCCCCTTCCCCTTCTATTTTCCTGTAAGGTAAGATAGATTACTACACCCCATTGCCTGTGTGTCTTCTTTCTCAGTTACATGTAAAAACAATTTTCCTTTTTAAAATTTTGAGTTCCAAATTTTTTCACTTCCTTAATCCCCACCTACTCTCATTGAGAAGGGAAGTAATTCAATATAATTTATACTGCTGTATTCATGTAAAACCCTTCCATAATATTCATGTGGTGAAAGGCTGACTATTTCTCTCCATACTATCCTGCCCCCCCATTTACTCCATTCTCTCCTTTCACCCTGTCCCTCCTCAAAATTGTTTGCTTTTGACTAACCCCTATTCGTGAATCTATTGCAGTTGTCTTAGATTCTTACATTGCTGTGAAAAGCCGAAGTCTATCAAAGTCAGTCATCTCATAATGTGTGATGTGAGAGGATGCCCATAAATTGGGTAATAGTCGAACAAGTTGTGGTATATGAATGTAATGGGAAGAAGTATAAGAAATGACGACATCTACAAAAGTGTCATGATGGAAAATGTTATCCATATCCAGAGAAAGAACTATGGAGTTGGAACACAGATCAAAGCATACTATTTTGTTTTGTTTCTTCTTTCTTTGGTTCCTCCTATTGGTTCTAATTCTTCTTTACAACATGACTAATGTGAAAATATGTAATAGGATTGTATATGTAAAGCCTATATCAGATTTCATGCCATCTAGGGAAGAGAGGCAGGGAGGAAGGGGGAGAATATTTGAAACTCAAAAGCATATGGAAGTGAATGTGAAAACTAAAAATAAATCAATAATTTTTAAAAAGGAGGGAAAAAGAAAAACAAGAATCACCTACCTAGCAAAACTGAGTGTAATCAATGAGGAGAAAAATTCACATTCAATGAAATAGATGAATTTAATGCACTCTTGAGTAAAAAACCAGAGTTAAACAGAAAAAAAATGATTTTCAAATACAAGGCTGAAGAGAAGCATGAAAAGGTAAACAGGAATGAAAAATCTTAAGAGACTTATTAAAGTGGAACTGTTTACATTCCTACATGGAAGGATTATATTTGTAACTCATGAGACCTTGTTTATGATCAGGGTAGTTGGAGGGAATAGAGAGAGAGAGCACGGGGTGAGTTGAATATGAAGGGAAGATATCTAAAATATAACATTAAGGGGTGAGAGCAGAATGTACTGGGAGAAGGAAAAATGGAGAGTTAGGATGGGGTAAATTATCTCCCATAAAAGAGGCAAGAAAAAGCTGTTTAAGTGGAGGGGAAGAGGGGGGAGATGAGAGAGAAGGAGTGAACCTTCCTCTCATCGGATTTAGCTTAAGGAGAGAATACTGTACATACTCAATTGGGTATGGAAATCTATCTTATCCTATAGCAGGAAAGTAGCTGGGGCAGGGGAGAATAAGAAAGGGAGGGGAGATTGTAGAAGAGAGTGGTTAGAAGCAAAATACTTTTGAAGAGGGACAGGGTCAAAAGAGAGAACAGAATTAACATGGGGAAGGTCAGAATGGAGGGAAATAATGTTAGTCTTTCACAATGTGACTATTGTGAAAGTGTTTTACATGACTACACACGTACAACCTGTATTAAATTGTTTGCTTTCTCAATGAAGGTAGATGGGGAGGGAGGGAGAGAATTTAGAACTTAAAGTTTTAAAACAAATGTTAAAATTTGCTTTTACATGTAATTGAGAAGTAAGATACACAGGCAAAGGC